GCCATAAAATGTGTGTAATGCAAATTTTTCGTATCTGGAGACTATCTTGAGACTGGTAAAGAGCCTGTAGTATAAAGCCAAGAGAAGAATGTTAAATAATAGCTCCCTCGTGTTTAAGGTTATTCTTTATGTTTAAGCTGAAAAGAAAAACAGTGATTTTTTTATTTTTTTTATGTTTAAGAGGTACCTTTGTATATCCCATCCGAAGTATTCTGCAGATATACATAAAACTGATCTTCTCTACTTAATGCATTACCTCCTAAAAGGACAAATTTCCACTGGTTAATGAGCAGTTATATATCATCAATATACATTATGCTATTTCTTTTCTTCCATAATAATTATTCAAAATTTTTGTCACAGTTTGTGATGTTTATCGACCATTTTTTATTTTGTCGTTAATGTAATCCTTACACTCGAAAGTAGCCCATCGTGATGGAGGCACGACCGTTCGATCTTGCTTAGCTTCCGATACGTAAAGCAGACTGAATAGGTCTGTGGCCGTATCCACACTTTTACGAGACGTGCTTGTGGCCTCGCCATTATTGCCAGCGTTTGGTGGGCCAGGGATTATGTCAGTCATCAAATCAAGAGAACTCTGTTTCCAAAAGCAAAATGTGCGCAAAAGAAACATTATTACATATTTATTAATGAAAAAATTATGCTATATATAAACTCAGTGTACTCATCGGTGTTTGAAAAAATCAATACCCCACGATTTCGTGTTATGGGAATGGGTTGAGGCATTTCGTTGGCGAAAAATTCTTCGTCGAGAGAGTACTTTCTTGCTTTCTTTGGGATGTCCCTTCTAGAAGTTAATCCTGCTGTTTTCTTTTCTTGGTTAACCACAACTCCGGGCTCCGGGGATGTTCTAGAAGCCCATCGTTTTTCAGCATACCTGAAATCAACAGAATGAGAGAACTAAGAGCTGGATAAAGAGAACGAGTAGATTAAAAAAGAATAAAAACAACCATTCATCTTAATATAATGTTCATCAGGAGTTACTTGGCTCGTATAAAATTTTCGATAGGATTCCGGTCGAAATCTGGAGGCAGTTCAGCTTCCCAGTACTCGTTAGATTTCTCATTTCCCATCACTACACGTCAAAGAACCGAATTTTTACTGCAATGTGATATGTAAATTTGGGGTTCTGCAGATAGTAGTATTTTGAGAAAACCTTGGAGCATTTCTAGCTAGTTGAGCATAAATGTTAAAATCTCAACTTTTATCCGAAAATACTATCCAACGGCATTTCAATATAAATCAGTCGATAACCTAAACTTTTTTTTGAGAAAAAAGAAGAAGAAAAACTAAAAAACACAATGTTTGTTAACAAGACTTACTCTGCATAAACGAAACCTGCTCGGGAAGCCATGTGTCCAAAGTTGTAGACCGAACCTGTTAAAGAGTAAAAGAAACTATTGACAGATTACAACCTACACTTACGTGGTAATGAATTAAACGAGAACACGACACGACCAAGACAGTGTAACATGTCAAAAGATATCGATTTTTTCTATCAAATGTAAATAACAAATTAAGTTAAAAGCCAAGTTTGAGTAAATTAAAAACCTTTGAGATGTGTACTCCAAGGCTCCTATGTATTCCTGAACATTGCATACATATAAATATACCGAGGTTGATGCTCGCCCATCTCGGGGCCCTGAAAAATTA